CTTGAGGTTAAAACCATTTAAGAGCCCCTGGTCTAGGCATAAGCACCAACTTTTATTTTTGCTGGGGGTGGGAGGCCTATGATGGTGGACATGTGGAAAGCTTTATGCATTTCAGGTGTCAGCCCTCTTCCCGAGGGGGGGCAGGGCCCTTGGGTCCCCATGTGTTCAGCACCAGTGGCGACACGTGCACAGCCTGAGAGTGCCGGTGCACCCCTTGACTGCAGTGTTCCTGGGGCGGGGGGGCAGTCGAGAACGCTGATGCCCCCCCTGAGAGTGCTGGTCAGGGATTGCGCCAGGATCAGTGTGCCGCTGCCAGTTGTGGCTTGGCGGGATCAGCCATGAGAGACCCCCACCCCTGGGTTGGCAGGATCACTGACTGTTGCTGGGGGGGGGGTAAGTGCCCCCCCTGACTCAGGAGGCACCAGTCACCCATGTTCAGCACCTCTGGGTCTAGATCTTGTCCATACTTAGGATTTGCTCAAAGTCAGGCCACTGACAAAGCCGCTCCATGCAAACCCCTAGTGCTTAGAAGGAACACTGCTATTTGCACCAGTGAACAGCTAGGGATGCATGGCTCCAGTTCCACAGTTGACTAGCTATTTATGTGTAAACAGGGAAATCCTTTGTGCAGAGAAGGCCAAAAACTCAGAAGGCCTTTCAGTGAACCTTGCCTGGGATTTGGTTTGTAATGGTCTTGAAACTGGGTGAGTTTTGCCCAATTTGCTTTTCTGTTATAGTTCTAGCTTTCACTAGCTCAGTGACTCTCAGCCAGGGTACTTCAGCAGAAGGGTGCTAGAGAGGAGAAAAGTGAGTTAAGGAGGCTCAGGTAAGGAGATATGTTCAGGCTCTTCCCTTCTAGCCACCTATCCTCCATCTGTGGCATAGGCTGTTCCCTGTTGGCTTCTCCCCTCCTTCAAGCAGGTAAGCACTAAATTAAATAAATTAGTTTTTGAAATGGGGTTCTGCTCAATTCACAAAAAATATAGAAAAGTGCCTCAAGTTTAAAAGGCTGAAAATCACTATGTTAGCTTCATGTTAGACCTTAGCTTTCACAAAATGTTTCGAACTCTATGGCTGCTCTATTAGCTTGCATATGAAGTTTCATAGGAATTTATTGAAATTAATAGTAAATGTATGCAATGTGCTAAGTGAATGCCACTAACTGTACCCCCAGTCCTATATTTTATGATTGAGGGGGGTAGGACAGATTTAAAAAATGTACTTTGGAAATGTTCATGGAAAATATTTCTTTTTTTGATTTAAAAAAAAAAGTTTTTATTGAAAAACTAAAACCCTGAAACCTAAAAATATGTTAGTTTAAAACTGATTTTTCTCCATTTTCAGTTCTTAATGGACGCTTGAATAAATCTGCAAAAATATGTCAGAAAAAACATCTTTTTTTTTTTCATTTCATGGGGCAAAGTATTTCCCAGGTGGTTCTCAAGCGTCATGGTGGTACTGTGAGTACTAGGAAGTGGACATATAGCTTCAAACTTGTACTGAATCTAAAATTACCAACAAATGATCCTACTTGGGTCTTCAAAAGTTGCCTGGTTACCCAGAGAGGTGTGAGCCACAAACACTAATTCTGTATCTGAGCTGTGTCAAGGAGCTGTGTATAGCATAGACTTGAGCTTATCTTTATAGCATACTAGACAGACGAAACAGAAACATGCAAAGCAGCCGGTGGAGGGAGAAATCATTTATCTTTGTCCCCTGACATTGTGAAAGCACGTGCACACGTGCTTGCCCATGTGAAATGCACTTATTTCCAAGACCCTTATTCTCATTGTAAATCCAGTGATATTTCTAGACATGCTTGTATTTGTGTATATCAAGAAGAGAGTATAACGGTCAGGCCCCAGTATGTTCTTTCAGCATATGAGCATCGTTACTGTATCATAGAGCAGTACTACAGATTTGAACTTGATTTTCCATAGGCATAGTGAAGGCTTGCTTCAAATAAAGCAGCAGTTTGATGGTGTCTGTGTCCGAGGATGCAGCTGCAGCCAGGAGCTAGCGTTCTATTCCCAGCTCTGATACTGACTCCCCTCTGACCTCTGTTAAGTAACTTAACTTGTTGTCCTTAGTATCCCCAGTAAAATGGGGAGGCCTAGATACTTATCTAGTGGGATAACAGTACTTACTACTTACCTAATTGGATGATAATACTTACCTACATACCGCACAGGGGTGTTGTGAGAATTAATTAGTTGATGTTTGTACAGCGCTTTGGAGAGAGAAAGCAGTATAAGTGCTAAGTATTATTACTGCAGGCCAGCATCAAGCTCTTCAGATGGAGAGGGACAGAGTAAAATATTTAATATTTTTTAAAATAAGCCGATATTTTAAAGGCAGCAGAAGACTTTAGAGCTATTTTTAGGTGAAGATTTTTAAGCAATTTGGGAAACAGATGGGTGTGAGTAAAAAATTCTGAGAATGCTTTAGTTTCTTTTAGATAACTAGGCTTAAATATTATTTGTGTCTCATTTGAGAAGGTAAAAGGAAACTCTGAATTTTAAGCCAGATTAGTGTTTACTTAAATCTTACTGGGAAAACTATTTCTAGAAAGTAACATTTGTACTAAAATTCAGATAAACAAATGCATTGAATAAATGTCCAAGAATATACACTTTTTCTTTAAAACCTGAGCTTGGTGCTCCCCTCATTCCCACTGAGGTAAATGAGAAGTACTTCAATGAAATTACAATAGTGTAAAACTGCTAGGAGGAGGAGTAGAATTATTTGAGACTTATATTTTTATGGGATCTAAAATACAAGTAGCTGGAACTTAAACATTGTGGATACATTATATTAAAGGCAGTATTTTATCATAATACAATTTTCACACTTGCAGTGTTGGATATTGTTTGTGGTATAGCACCCCATAAAGAGATCTATTAATAGATGGGTCTGATGCGTAGTACACAGTGTTTTTTTCCATTCTTAGAGGCAAACTTTGCAAGATTTTTGCCTTTAAATGTTTGATTTGGTTCCTAGTCCAAGAAAGCAGCCTTACACATATCAAAGCACCTATTTTTATTTTCTTGCAAGAGCAGTGCTTCAGATCTTTTACACTCCAATGTTTGAGTGAATTCCCACAAATTCCTGAAATCTGTTAAAATACAGGGCAAAGTGCTTACATTGGTATGTTGTACATTGGCTCTTCTTGCTAAAAAGGCTGTGCTTTTTCATTCTGGATTTGCAAAAGAAATTTGATCTACTGCTGGGCTAAGCCCCTTTGGTTGGCTCTAGGACCAATTCTTATATTTCTGCACCAGGCAGACACAAAAACTGATAACGCTTAAAATAAAACTATCCCAGAACCTTACTTAAGGTTGTTATCATGTTGTTTTAAAATGTACTAGAGAGCATTCCCCGTAGTCAAGGGTGAGTCAGAGAAAATGGCATCCAGGCAGCTAAGCAGAAAACCTGACCCAACACCAAAACTCATTGTCAGCTTCACAGCTGCCATAACAACCAGTGAGACTTTGGAGGGAGCCAGCCAGGAAGTCAGGTGCTGTTGCTTGGAAAGAATATGTTCCAGATTAACTGGCATTTGGCCCTTCAGCTGCTGTACAAAACCAGCATGGGCCCATGGGTGTTAGATCTAGTTTTGGATTGCAGGAGGAGGATGAAGTGAAGTATGACTGCCATTGTCAACAGCAAGCTTGTCAAGTCAGTGCTGATAATATATGCATCTGAATAAAATAGATATCTGCTGCTATATACTGGAGTAGCTTCTGAGAGGAAACGGGGGCAAAGGAAGATAGCAGGAAGATTCAGCTGTATCTAGTCAGTACAATTTGCAGACTTGAAAGCTTGTACATTTGGTTAAAGTTCAGTAGCTTGCTAACCCCTCGATGCCTGGTTATCACATTTCAGAAATGTTCTGAACACTCAAAGTTGGAGAGCATAGCTACTTCTGACATCTACAGCTCGGCAACAAAGATGCTGATAGGAAGCAAAGGTGGAGAACTCTTAAAAAAAATAGGGATACAGTGATATAGGATTCAACATGTGAGGCTCAGTTATCAGAACCGTCAGAGTAATAATCGATGTAAAGCTGGCTTTATCACGCCTCTTTCGGGGTTTGCCCAAGGAATATAGTCTCTCAGCACAAACTGGAACAGCCTCTGGGCTGCTCTAAATTACACTGATTTGCAACTGTTTGCTCCAGAACCCTTGTTCTGTTGGCAGAACGTGGTGTGCGTGAACCTTGAGAGCCCCTTTCTGAGAGCAGAATCCTCTAGCCTAGAGGTCAGCAAACTCTTAGGAGCATTGGGCCAAATTTAATGCAACTTGTTCCAAAGGGAGGCTACCACTTCCAACCCAGCCACTGCTCCCTTTGCTGCAGCCATGCTTCCAGCCTGGCCACTGCTCCACTCACCACCAGCATGCTTTCAAGCCAGCCACTGGTCTCCTCACCAGTGCGTTGTTGCCAATATCCCAGCCATGAGGGCTAGATGAAATCATTTCACAGGCCGTATCCAGCCCATGGGAGGTAGGTTTTTGACCCCTGTTCTACTCCACTGGCAAAGTTATTTCCCTTCTGCAAAGTAAAAGTAAGACTTCTGCTGTCACCTAGCAGCTGTCTTCATATGCTTTCACATTCAGTCATCTATTGTGGTCCCAGAGAAGCACACGCTCTACCATCAGACAGACACATCACAGAAAGAGAAAAGATTTGACCTGACTGCAGGTGTACTGGCTTGGTGGAGTGGTGTGGTAAAGCTTACACAGTGCTTCCCTACTCCTTGTTCTACACAATGTCATTAGTGTCACGTTAGCAAGTATACAGTTAATTTGGTTTTAGAAAAATCTCATGTAAATCTGTAATTTTCCCTTAAAAAAAGACATTGTTACTATATAGGAAAGAGTAAATGGGTTTATCCAAGATAGCAGAGAGCTCTGTGGTAGAGTCAAATTAACTCCCAATCATTGTGAGTATCTTGTATAGGACCTTACTCACAAAACCACCGTTCTTCTGTTGGTCTTACCGATAACAGCCAGAAGGAAGCCTGACTCTTTGCTGGGGAGCGTTAGCCCAATGCTCAATGTATGCAGATTTTCTTCAGGTCCTTCTTAGTGATGTGGAAATAGGAAGGCTGAGGGTGCAGTCGTAGTTAGATCTTCGGAAAATAGAGCTTTCTGCTAGTTAACCATTACTTTGCATTCTCCCTTCCTTACAAAACAGCTAAGGTTAAACATTAAGTGCCCGCAGTGAAGGACACCTGTATTTGCTGGTCCCATTATGTGGCTATACTGAAAAAGCTTTACAGCTGTCTAAATTAGCATAATTAAATCCACATCAATTAAAAAACCTCAATCACCTCTTTCCCCTTCACATGCAGATAGTAGCATTTGTCTAAGGTACTAAGTGACAAAGGAACTTTTTAACAGTTGAAGACCTGGCTGAAAGGAAGAGTAATAGGATTTGTATATTGTCCCATGGTTCACCTTAACACTAGTGGAAATGATTAGTTGTAGCTGTTCTATCTAAAGAGGTATGGCTGCATTTTGCATTTCAATTATGCTAGTGCACAGGACCACGCATTAGAGATGTGCATTTTACAGCTGTGCTCCTGCTTCTATTGCTCCTTTATCCCACGTTAATGGGGGTAAACAAAGACTGGCATTATAATTTGGTCAATTTCCCCCTCTCCTCCTTCTCCTTCTCTCTTTCTCTCTCTCTTTTGTGTGTGTGTGTTTTGTTTTGTTTTATATGGGGAAGCCCCAGTGACCCCAGGATAGCAACAAGGCTGCACTGTGTGGCGATAGCAAAGAGAATTCCTCCAGATGAAAACTGACATGGGGTTCAGGGGTTAATTTCTGGAACAGGCACATTTGCATACAAATGAAAAATGATGGAATTTCTGTTCTCCTAAATTTTCAATGTCATCAGCATCAAACAGCAGTCAGTGCTCCCTTGCTGTTTGAAGAATATTCATTACTTCAGAAGAAGGGGCACCTTGTTTGGTATTAATCTCCTCTGCAGGTCAATGACTTAATTTGCTAAACTTCATCTGAAGTGCCATTCACTTTCTCAGTTCTCTGCTATTCTTTGTTATTTTTCATAACGTGTTCTTAATACTTTTTTTTATTTGTAAAGGAAAGGGATACACTGCTCCAGCAAAACAGAAAGGGAAAGACCTAAACCATTTGGCACCTTCTTGCATAATTTGTACCACATTTTGAAATCTATTTGTCTTAAAATTCATGAATTTTTTTTAAAGAAAAAAATGCACACTTAAGTGAGAAAACAAACATTTTTCTTTCAAAACTGATGCACAAAAGGACATCTGTTGTCTTGTGCACCAAGGTTACAGGGCATCATGCTTCTCAGGAAAGGTAGCAAGCAGCAAAATAAATAACCCCCGAAAGAAAATCATAATATTCTTTTTAGTACCTGCTTCTAGAAATTCTTGTCTGAACATGCAATAACTGAGGGTGTAGTTAGGAAACTTTAGTACTAGCTGTTATTTCTGTCTTGTCCTCTGTGTCTGCAAGGACCCTAAGGATCCCATTTCCCCAGTTTTTGCCCTTCATGGTTATCATCTTTCTGTCTGAATAGGATTATTCAGAGGATCTTCAGATCTTTAGAGCTTGCTAGCATTGTTCCTTAATTGGTTTGGGCTCTTGGGCAGTCATTCTTAAAGTGTGGCCTGTGGACTGCTGGTAGTTGTTCCACAGAGAGAACTCAGTGGTCACTTAGACCTCTTTTCCTTGTTTCCAGCTGCTAAAATGCATTGAAAGGCACTTACATATTTTCCCAGTATTACTTTGCCATGTACAAAAACATAGCTATAGCCGGGGCCTGATTCCATTGTCCCAAACAAGACAGCGATTGTTATGATGAGTGCTAGAGGAGGGCGTTTTCCAAAATAATCCCTCAGTGAAGAGCTGGTCAACACCTTGAAAAAGTTTCTCCCCTTGTACCTTTAGCAACACTTCTACCTTCGTCATACAGGAGCTCAGCATTATTCATTGACTTTCCTTCTTCAGGTGAAGGCGGAATAATTCTAAGACTCTAATACAGTGCTGTCCAACTTCATACATACTGGCTGTACAAATAAACTCCTAGTAGAGAGCCTGTGTCTTTCTCACTTTCAAATGTGTATTACTTTCTACAGGCAAGGTTCTTTGAGTAGATGTGGTATCTTTTATTAGACCAACTGAGTAGTTGGAAAAAAGTTCTTAGCAGGTTTTTGGGTGCAGTCACCCTTCAGACATGGGGAGTCTGCTGTTCTGAGACTCCAGAAGCTAAAAGTGTGGCAGGATGTCAGTGAGAATGTAAATAGGTAGAAGTTAGAAAGACACAAGCTAAAGCAGGGAGGGGACAGGAAGAGAGCAGGGGGAAAAAGGCTAAAGAGAGGCATTACAGTGATAGAATGCAAGGTGGAAAAGAGGCTATAACTGATAAAGAAAATAGTTGGAGATCAGGAAAACAGGAAGGAGAGAAGCTCCCAGTGTGAGAGGAGGTAGTGAAAATATAAATAGGTAGAAAGGAGAAACAAAAGGTAAAGCAGGGGAGGGAGGGGGAAGAAAGCAGGGGGGAAAAAAGGCCAAAGGGAAACATTACAGAGATAATAATACAGGGTAAGAAGAAGGCTCTCAGCGAAGAAGGAAATAGTAGGAAATCAGGGAGACAAAGGGCAGAGAAGTAGGGGAGGGGAGAGGAGAAAAGGTGGGGGGAAAGCAGAATGGAAGATGTGAGGTCTGGCAGGTACCTGTTAAATCAGCTACCAGGCAGGTTGCAATGTGTCATAAAACCAATGTCTATATTTAGTCCATGATTTTTTGTATGCAGTAGATTTATGAAGTGAAGCTCATAGGCTTGTCTATAGAAGGTGTGTTATAAGTTCCCTTTGAGGATTAGAGCTGAGAGATCAGAGAGAGAGTGATTGTCCTGTGAAAACAATCACTTTCTGCAAATTTCTAGCTAGAATTTCCCACTCGTTCTTTGAGTACCTAAGGAAAATTTTCTGAAAATTAGAAGCCAAATCCTATTTTTCAGCAATAGAAAGGTAAAAACACCATAGACAATTCAGAACCCATTAAAGTAAATGTTAATGCGCTTGTTTGGCTTATACACAACTCAAAAATGGCAAAACCCATAATTAATGTAAAAGTCAACCAGGGTTTTCTGGAATCTTTCCATTATTTGGAAAAGGTTCATCTAAGGATTGGTTTCATGAAGCCTATTGGAAATTAGTCAACCAATACAGGATAGAATGGAGGCCAGTTGGTGCAGTTCAAGTCCTTACTGGAGCCTCTGGTCACTAAAACACTTAAAATAATAATAGCATAATTTATCAATGTACACTAATCTTGGAGGCTATACCCTAACAGCAGTATCAAGTCAGCATTGGCTGTCATGCTCTAGATCACTGGTTCTCACCAGGGTGCTGCAATATCCTTTCAAAGAAGCTGCTGGACCAGCATGGGTACAGCCATGTGGAACTGCCCTACGCACCTCTGTCCAGGACGGGCATGCACAAGCCCGATGGGGAAGTAGTGGCAGCAGGAGCAGGCACTCCTGCCTGCCTTAGATTTTGCTGCCCTCCCTTCCCTGCTCTGTTCCCCTCTCCAGTTGGCTGGCAGTCTCAGTTTAAAAGCTGAGAACCAGTACTATAACTTAGGCAGGGTGACCAGGGCAGCTGCAGGTACCAGCTTAGGTGAGGGGAGCAAAAATAACAGTTGCTGCCGTAGCCATGTAGTTACGTGAGCAGCACCGGCAGATGGAAGTCGCTGCTCTCATGAGCTGCCACTGCCCCAGGAACCCAGCTACCTTGTTTATGCCTCTGATGAGAACCAGTGGCTGAGATCCTTAGGTTCAGCCATGCTGCATTTAGCACCAAACTTGCAATGGGGAAATGAGGACTTTCTGCCTCCTTTATCATTTGGCTGGCTGACACGAGCGTGTGATTCTCTCACCACCCCTCCACATCACTGGGATGGCATAAGGCTATCCGTATTGGCCTTACGTGATCTAGAGATTCTGCTTCTTTAGGGAAATTCTTGGGTAGGTGGTTAAACCAGCTTTGTAGAACAGCTGTTTTATGAGCCCAGATCTGTCTCATTATCTACAGAGAATGTTTCCAACATAGAAAACTTCATCTGTAGACAGATTTGAATGCACAAATATATTCTGCACTGAAATGTGTAGAGAGCCAATAAACAAAGCAGACAGGAGCTTTTCTGAGTAGTTGAAAGTCACTGCAAGAACAAAGCATGGACCCTACAGGTAAATATAAATGTTTGTGGGCTCTGCTTCCTATAAAAGTCCAGTTTAAAGAGCTTATCTTCCCTGGTGAAACTACTAGCAACTAATAAACCTGGAGTTTTCTTGATTTGATTCCCATTTTTAATGACTTTAACATTAAGATTGCTAACTAAAAGTCACATTCTGTGACTTTTAGGCACACTGTGTATATTTTATGAATATTGCTATTGAAATGAAATGGGCTACTTGCAGAATAAGATACTTCTCAGTATGAGTAAGGGTATCAAAATCTTCCACCAAGTGTTCACAGTCAAGGGGTTACATTTCTAGCTGGTGTAAATTATATAGGCCTGCTGAAATTAATGGAACTGTGCTAATTTATGCCATCTGAGAATCTGGTCTACGAATGAAGAAAGTTAAGGTTTTCATAGTTCTATTTGCTTGGCCACGTTACAAATATGTTGCTTTGGAAATATGAGTGTTATTATGCTAACGTTTATCCTGCCACATGGATAATCGATGAAATACACAGGATATATCACATGACTGTGTTCATGTTATTTTGAGAACCTTAACTTTTAAATTTTCTGACTTTTGAGCTTTTTAACTTGTAAAATGAACATTACATTGACAGAAGGTTTCTCCTCCGCCCCCAATTTTATGCATACTAGAGTTGATTTTTATCTTCAGTTTTACAGCACCTTACGCTGTAAGAAAAAGCGCTCATCTGTTTATGGTAAGTTTATCAAAAATACTGGAAAGTTTTCATTGACTAAGATATTTATATTGTTATTGTAGCATGCTACAGGGTAATTTTGAGACAACAAATAGAATATTTCAAAGCCCAGATGTCCTGTTTAGACAAGGGGTTTTATATTGATTAGAATCTGCTTTCACC